AACAAGACAGTCTCAAGTTATCGGTAACATTTTATAAAAACAACGTCCGAGTGACTTGTCCAGCTGATTTCATGCTTCCGTCGCTAAAAAAGGAGATTTTTGTCAACCTATCGGAAGGATGAGATCAGTTTTTCGGGGCAAACCTGAGAAACGATAGGATTTAACTTGTGTCTCCCTTATTTTGAATTTNGAGTAATATACTGATAATTGTCGAGCAATTGAACAGCAATTGTGATAGCCACCTGCTTAACCAGTGCAATTCTCAAACCGTTTGGTTTGAGCTCACAAATATCTCGAGTGTTGGAAGCCATACGGCTAGATGGACAAATAAACAACTGTTCATTGATCACCCAGAGGCGGGCAATCTAACTTTGAGTTTAATATTGAGCAGGAAGAGTACCCTTCATTTGAACGAAATGAAGTTCCGTTTATGACCAGATCAAGAGAGGACGGGAGTCGAACAAATATGAACTTGCGAATGATGGACGAATTCTTGGAATACTCTTTTCAGAAGGTACTTTAGTTATGGTGAGAAATTCGCATGAGGGGGAAAATGGTCCGGCTTTATGCACCTGTTTACCCAGCTAAACTCTTAACACTCAAATTTTCAAACGTACAATCAACCTCAAAATTACTGTACCAAGGCACCTGGCGTGAGACTAGTCCGACACCATCCATCATTAACGGAGACTGGGACAAGCCGCTTTAGTAACCCCGTCCTCATACAAACAAGAATTCAGTGGATATATCTGACTCATTGCTGTCCAGAGAAGCAAATTTAGGAGGAATGGACATGCCTGCAAGCCCTGCCTTCTGCAACCGTACCCTAGTTTCCGGCCAATCACAAAAGGTCTTTAAGGATATCAACTATACTCCTGAGGGCATCGCTTGGATGCCATAAATGTCGTTGCCCTAGTAGCTTCAAGAGTATCCTACTTGAACAGAACAACACGCTTATCATGGGTCGAAGGAACAAAAATGTCGTCGAGTGCAAGTGAACTCACTAGCATATTTTCCATTAGAAAAAGTAGGTGATTATTTGTTTTTAAAAGGTGCAGAAGCAATATCTTTGTGATAACTGGTGTTACCAGCAAACTCCTCAACTAGGTTTTGGGATAGTCCATGATTTGGTACGAATCGCCTGGCTAGAACGTGACCGTTTATCATTCAGTACTCAGAAATTCGAATAAGTGGAAATGCTTCAGTAGGGTTTATACTTGAATCGGTGGCAAAAGGAAGGACTGGATTAGGAGCACTGTCAAAACAACCGGAAGTGCAGTTCATATTGATGACAAGTTCCATTACATCAAGAACGGCAAAACAACGGAAAATAAAATGTTGATCACCGCAAAATATTTGTTGTAGTGGGGTCACCACCCTGCTGTTGTGGAATGACAAGACGGAAGGAAACAATTAGAAGAGTCCAATAATTAGTAACCCAAGCGGTGATGATGTATGTGATGTACACATTCGCTATCACGTATTATGGTCAAATAGTATTCGTAAGTGGAGGATGACTGTCAAATTCCTGTCAGCAGTCACAAAGGGGCTCAAACTAATTTCATAATCCTGGCCCATTTCCAAAACTATCTATCATGTCTTTGTCATTGATAGCTTTGATTTCCTACAGAGTTCTGCCGAAAAATCTCGATTCTATCTGAGCGTGGCATAAATAATGTAGCGTATTCCTAACAACTTAGACAGGTAGTCGGACGACTGAGTAACGCAGAGTAATTTGTAAACAAGACAGTCTCAAGTTATCGGTAACATTTTATAAAAACAACGTCCGAGTGACTTGTCCAGCTGATTTCATGCTTCCGTCGCTAAAAAAGGAGATTTTTGTCAACTTATCGGAAGGATGAGATCAGTTTTTTGGGGCAAACATGAGAAACGATAGCATTTAACTTGTGTCTCCTTTATTTTGAATTTAATGGGTGTTGCGCGCAGTAATTTCCTAAATCAGGTCTGACATTGTTT